AGAATTTTAAATAGTTTTATTTGCATTTTATGATACTGCAAACCATTTCACTAGGAGGGTCAATCACAGGTAGATTAATAAATATATTATAAATTATCACATTTGGAAATTCTGATAGAAAAACCCATCGTTTTGAAAAGCAGCAGAAAAGAGTAAATATACAACTCGAGTGTAAAAAATTTAAAGTTCTACCAATTAAAATAACACAAGTTAGTTCATACTTGATATTAACGGATATTACATAACATCAAAGTAATTTCTTTTGATAGATATTTTACCATAAGTGTTTGTGGGTTAAGTAATCGCTTTCAAATTAAATATACTTAGTATTGTTAACAAATTGGTCAGGACTTTATTTTTATAAAAAAAATCTTAAGTATTTCCGAGAAACGCACTTTTTTGGATTCACCCTGTATAATGCAGATGTGCTTGAAGGTGGTAATGGTTATTCTTACAATGATATTTTAAAATAAGTTTGTTCAAAATAGTCCCTAAATTAAATTTTTTAGTTTTTTTTATTATACGTTTTTAACATATACTTTTGTATTTTTACTTACTGTTTAGAGAAGCTAATAAATCTAGTCTAAATATTTTTCTAAAATTCTCATCAGATCAAATCATACAGGGATGGCCAGAATACGGAATAAAATTCATATCTTTTGAATGAGTTATTTTTTTTTAAAACGCCGAAACACGTTAACTGATTTTGATTTTTTCCCATCTTTCGGTTATATAATAATTAATTTTTCTTCAACCCCCTAATCCCCAGCTACCCCTACTTTTTTTTCAAATGGAAACATAAGGCATGAGGGGGCTCGTTGAAAAGCTTATAGATAACCGGATCCAGCCATACCAAATAAACAAGTTTTATTTTTTCAATAACAAGTTTTTTTTAATTTACAAAATGAAACAACTAGATAATTTACAAAAATAAACTCAATGTCGCAAATGCTGAAAATGTCCTCCATTCACTATTTGGCATTCTCCAAGACGATAGTAAAAGCTGTCCACAGCATTCTGAATGACTTCAGCTGGTAAATTATGCATCTCCGCCCTAATCTTGTTCTTTAAATTCTCAATATTATCCGGTCTGTCCTGGTAGACTCTTTCTTTCAAATATCCCCAAAGAAAATAATCCAGGGGTGTTAAGTCGGGGGATCTTGGCGGCCATTTAACTGTACCCCGTCTACCAATCCAGCGATTCGGAAACACTTCATCTAAGTATTTTCGAACTCAATACCAAAATGTGGGAGCGCGCCATCTTGTTGGAACCAAATTCTTTCATTCGATACATCTGGATCAATTTCATGAGGGAAAATCACAGCTAGAGCAGGTATCAGGTCAAATGTTAGGAAATCCAGGTAGCGTGCGGCAGTAAGATTTTCTTCAAAAAAGAATGGGCCCAAGATTCTGTTGTTGATGATACCTGCCCATACATTAACCGTTTGTGGATGCTGCATATGCGATTCGCATGTCCAGTGTGGATTTTCCTGGGACCAAAAGCGATAGTTGTGCCTGTTAGCCACTCCATTTAAATAAAACGTAGCTTCATTCGAAAAAAGTACGTCTCGTTGAAAACTATTATTGTCGTCACACCGTCTCATCATTTCCTCACAAAATTGTAATCGCCTATCATAATCGTCTTCCAAAAGCTCTTGGACAAGACATACTTATACATTTATAGGGGTGGTATTTTTCTTGTTTCAGAAACATTTGAAGTATGAGGATTTTCAACAAGTTCTATTGCAACGTCTAATTTCGTTTCTTCATTTCTTCAAACATGTTTTCACTAATAATATTTGGCTAGATTGTTGTTATTTATTTAGAAAATCATTAATCAATACGGGTGGGACGTAACATGTTTACTAGATATTGCGGATGTAATTCAATGCTTCGGGGACGTAACTAATTGTTTCCTATAATATCATTATTTTCCACAACTTTAAAACTGTTGTCTACCTACAATTTGTGCCACAGATTATCAACAAATTGTATATAAATTATTGTATTTACTTACTACAATTTTATTAAATGTAATCATATCCTATTTTGGCAAAAGGTTCATATAATTGTATTAAATAAATACTAATGAGTTTTTAAAAATTTCAGATACTTTCTTCGAAAATTTCTCGATACTGTAGTTTTTGCTATCACATACTGTTGAAAAATTTTAAATGCTTGTGTAAATATTTACATCTTTCTGGAAATTCTCACTAAAAAAGAATATGTACCACAAATTATTAGACATATAAAATCTATTTAAACAATGATTACTTTAATTGAAGTTACAAAACAAACACACATAAGTACAGGAAGAAAACAGTATCTTGAAATAAAACACAAACAATAATCGAATCCGGGCAACAATCGAATTTGGTAAGCAGTGTTACTTGTTACTTCTCCACAGTTTACGTACCACTAATAAGTTGCAACCAACAAGTGCCAACAAATAAGAAATTTTGACATCGTATTGATATCTTACAATTTTTGAAGCAAGTCTATTTCTTGTTATTTGTTTTGTATAATTATTCACAACCAGGATGAACGCCAACAACATTTAATAGTGAATTAAGGTTAACCAATCTAATATAGTAAATGCGTAGAAGCAACAGATGTAACAAATAATTGCTGCACATGTCAAGGTCAAATTATTTTTTGTTTTTCTCACATTTTAAAAAATAACAAAAATTTGGGAAAATATATATATTTTTTTTTTTGTAGAATTGTATAGAAATACTTTTTATACGAAATTACGATTATGGCAGATTTTTGCACAAAATGAATGATCACAATGACAAGAATTTTTAACAAGGTATTTTTTCTGCGTAAGTTTTATTGCTATGCTGATGTTTAAAATTTTGACATTTCCAGTATCGTAGGTACATGTGATCTCACTGTCACAAAGGTTATTACTAGTTGACTATTACTTGAGAATTTTAGAAAAATTTTTACACTAGGTTTGAATTAATTACCTTATTAATTTTCTGGCCCCAATAACTTAGGCAAGGAATTCCAGATAGCATATTTGGTTCTAATTTATAGACCAAATTCGGTCATTTTTGGTTACACCCTGTATATCAAATTTCACTAAAATATACATATTCACATTCTATTTTGCCATAAGATGCACATTGTATTAAATCAATTCTCAAAAAAATTTCTATACAGGGTGGGCCATTAGTCTGAGAAACTAAAATAATTCCCTTGTTACTCATAATACAGAAAAAAAGTTTATATAAAAGTTGTACAGAATCAAGAAACATAAACTACAAAATTAATTTGAAATATGCAGGGCGACGAGTAAAAACGGGACACGCCAAATATTACATTTTTTAAATGGAACATCCTGTATATTTTTAAACATATAGATTTCCGAGAAAATTCTATATATGGCAATATAAACAGTTTATCATTTTAGTGCGGAGTTGCCAAGTTATGTAGAAAATTTTTTGAATTTTGGAAAAAACATGACCTTGAAGAAGTTGTATTAACTTTCAGCTACTAAAACTTGGAACCAAATAATTAGACAGATTTATAGGCAAAGGCTCCTCCATATTAGCTAATATCGATATTTTATTCAGAGGATTTTGTATAATACAATAATTTTTAGAAAATTTAAAATTGATTTTCTAAAATTTTTCAAATGGAACACCCTGTATTTTATTCTATTTTATTCATATATCGGTCCACTTCAACTTTTATTAAGCATGTTCTATATCTAAAATTGTTAGTTTTTAAGATATAGTAATATCTCTGAAAAAACTTAATTTTTATTATTTTACAGAATATCACAAATAAATATTAACTAATAAAATTAATTCAAAATGGAATAACAAACTATGAACTGACAAGTTGACACAATGTGACAGTTTTTTCCAAAGCCATTTCGTACGACCGAAATTAATAGAAAGTTTTTCAGAAATGTTGCTATATCTTAAAAACTAACAACTTTAAGTGTAGAACATACTTAATAAAAGTTGAAGTGTGAATACAGGGTGTTCTATTTGAAAAATTTTAGAAAATCAAGTTTGAACATTCTAAAAATGATCGTATTATAAAAAATGCCTTGTATATAATATCGATATTAGCTAATATGGGAGCCTTTGCCTAACATTTGCCTATAAGTCTGTCAAATATTTTTACTCAAAATGTTAGTAGTTGAAAGTTAATACAACTTCTTTATTTTACTTTCTCACATTAATGGCCCACCCTGTATAGATTGTAGTTTTTGCAACCAAATTACTGTTGAAAAATTTTAATATTTTTCCTGCGCATGTTTTCTTTATCATGCTGCATATTTAAAATTTTGACAATTCTAATATCACGTATGATCTTACTGGTATAAAGGTTATTATTAATTGACTTTATCATATGATAATTTTAGAAACATTTTTGGACTACACTTGAATTTTTAAAGTATAAAGTATAAGGTAGGTATACATTTTCTGGAAGGAATTCCAGATAACAGAATTGATTCTAATTTTTTGGCCAAATTCGGCAATTTTTAGTAACACCTTGTATATCAAAAGATGACGATTACTTAAACAATTTATTGGGTCAAAAATTGGTAAAAGTGAAACAAGTTTTGTGTCTTTTTTAATTCGAATTGTGACAACAAACAGAAAAGGAAAACTAATAAGGAAATGTCACAGATATTTTTAACTTGGGAACAAGGCTTTATCGCGTTGCCCCGCTGACGAGGCCCGAGGAGGCCGAAACGGCCCAAACCCAACTTCTTACGACCGACTCCGCAACCGCCAAAGGACGTTTCGAGGGGGAGGGTGTCGTGCCGCTTCCGGAGTGTAGAGTTTCGCGAGCGGGGCATTTTTTCTGCATATGCCGCGCGCCGTAGACGCCGCTTCGTCTAGGCCGGCCTATTTCGAACAAAAATACACAGGTTAAGAGAGCCCAGCTCCGTACGCCCTTTCTCTGTCCAGCTCGAAGCTAGATAGGATCTAATAATAAGACGGCGAGTTAGTTTTCAGCGTACAGTACGCCGATGCGGGTCTCTGAAAAGTAGACGCTTTTCGAAAAACGACGCGCGCTCCACTAAACCACGTAAAATTTTTCAGAAGTGCAGTGAAAACACCGCCCGGTGCCGATAGTGCGGAAATGTGGTGGAGGACTATGGCGATGCTGGCGGCGCTTGCCGTCTCCGTGGACGTCTGCGTCTCGGCCCCCCCGGCCAACTCCACGGCAGACGTCGAGGCGACCCTCGAGCGGTTCCTCAACGCCTACTACGACCGCTACCTGAAGAAGCGGGTGGAGGAAGACATCAGGCCCGCGAGAGCCGAGGACGACACTGAGGATGATCCGTACGAAACGATGCAGGGGGACCAGCCCGTGGAGAACAACATAGGGTCGAGGCCCTACGGGCTGAACTCTACCGTGCTGTACAGGAGCAACTTTACGGATCAGATCCAGTACATCGAGGCTACCAGGAACAGGTTAGTTTATTATTTTTTTGTTCTGAGATTTGGTGTTGAAACGTCATTAGGTGTTGTCAGCGAAGGCCAAAGAAATATCTTATAAATCTTGATCAACATTTTTTACTGTCTGAAACTATTTATTTGTAGCATAGTTTTAGTTATCTGTTTATTTCGTATTTTGCTACATGTGAAAAAATTAAATCAAAAAACCTTCGAGCTAAAAGTTTCAATCAATGGTTGATTATCCAAAAATCTCGAAAAAAGAACATATTCAACAAAAATCATACTATTATCATTGTTAACTTGGAAAAACAAAAATCATAAAGCGATAAATAACGATTAAAAAGAATCATTTTTCGTGCAAAAAAAAATCAAAAGATACAATTAAAAAATTTGATTAAAACAGTAGAAAAATATTATCTGTAGATTTTGAGCGCTACAAATAAAATAACAAATTTGAGCATCTCACAATATCCTCTTCAGGCAAACGTACATATAAATTTATAAATTATACAATAAAAATACAAACCTTTAGTTAATTAGTACGGCCAAAGCCATATCCTTAATCATACACAAGAAATTCTTACACTGCAAAAAGCAAACAAATAAAAAGTACACTAGATATAAATAAATGTGAGACTTAGATTAAGCGAAAATAGTTAAAATAATTTTTGACTGATTCACTTAACGCATGAGTTTACTCAATTAATTTTAATTTTTTTCACAGATCACAGTTAGCAAAATATAATATAATAATAAAAAAAATTACGTTATTTTTCTAAAGAGAAGATTGTATGACAGTAAAAGAAAGGGTATTTTTTCAAGTTCATGCCATACCTCCAGGAGGTTGTTCTTGAATTAGATCAAAAAGTTAGGTCCCTAAAATTGCTTGTTTTGGAGATACAGAGTGTTGATGTTTAAAAAATAAATAAAATTTGGGCTAATACTTTGCATTAATTAACATTAATTAAAGAAAACTGATTTATAAATATGTCAGCCAGTGGTAGAGTTACAAGAGTTTTAATTTTTCATTGTTGATGGTATTTCTAAATTAAAAAAATTCTTTCAGCTTAATTCCAAAAAAGAAAATAAATTTAAAACACCGATTCGCTTCGCAAAAAAAATATGTAAGCCAAGTGCGAGGGAATTTTAAATTGTCAGAAGAATAGCAAGAGGCACAGTTTATAAAAAAAACTTTTTATACTTTTGATATGTGTAGATATCTTAAATTCAATCAATTGTGTAATAAACTTATTTTAAGATAAGTACCTAATAATAATAATAATTACGTTTCTTCGTTGGAAATTGTGGGTCATTGTGGGATTCTTAATATCAGTATACCTTACGACTCTCCGCCACTGTATATCTAATTAATTATGTCATTAGCCCAACATCTATCAATTTAATTCACACCGTCAGAGATTTTGTCAGTACCAGGTGTCCCAGAATGTTCGGGCAATCTCTCGGATTTATACAGGAGACGTTAAAGTGACAGATAAAACTCCTTAAAAATTGACCCACAAAAACAATTTGGCTTATTTGGTTTTCCACGTTTTTCTTCTATCTGTATAATCAATCAATTTTTTTTATACCCATTACGATAAAAGCACAAAAAAAATATTATTAGATAGCTTGAACCTTAAACTAAAAAAAGGTACTCTATGTTGATATCGACAAAATGAACTGTTTTTGAGAAAAAACTATTTTTGTTTATTATGATTTTTATTAGTACATAATTTTACGTCAGTTCAACATGAGCTCTTTCCCTATCTCTGCGAATTGAAGATTGTTGAATCCTCTGTTGTCCACTGTATTAAAAAATATTTTAATTATGCAAAGTATTTTGAGTCATTAAAAAAAATTATTTTTAGGGGCGTTCTTTTTTAGGAACTTGTCACGTTATTCTGTATAAATCCGAGAGATTGCCCAGATATTCTGGGACACCCTGTATACGTGGAATTTCTTTTAAAGTTGCATCTCGAAAGCAGTAATTTTAGACCGCTGGTTCATTACGACTTTTTGGTCTAAAATAACAAAAAGGACAACCTGCTGAAGTTATAAATAGACTTACAGAATGAGTTGTATCAATCCAAAGACTAAAAAGTAATTCTTTTAAATATTTAGAAACAGTTGATTGCAAACAAAATATTGTGTCATTAAAAATAACGATTTATAAAGAATTTTTGCGAATTGCTACTTTTTTTATTTATTCTAAAGATGTATCACATAGAAATGGAGTCTGAAAATTGCATATTTAAATAAATATATGTTTTTTTTATCGCGAAGATAAATTGGTAAATTTTTTAGATATTTTTATTATATCGAATAGAAATGGAGATTATTTATAGAATAAAGTGACCATATCTTCACTGAAATTTCAATATTCTTCTAAATTTTGGAGTCGTGACGTAAAAATTATTTCGCAATCAGAACATCATAAAAATATTTTAAAACAAACAATTAATAAGAAGATATCAGTCTAACTAATTAAAAAAAATACCTTGCAAAGCAACTTAATAGTCAGTATTCAAAAATTTATTTTTAATAAAACATCGACTAATTTTTTTTTAATAAAATTGGCGGATGCGCCGGTTACAGTGCGAATTAAAAAATTTACATCTAGTATCTCAACAAAACTTTGTATACTAATTTTATAATAATTAAGTCATCAATAACACAGTGTTAAAACTTTTTAATTGCCCAATACAGGTAGCTTTCTTATTTTAAGAGATACAAAAATAGTCAAATGAGCAAAAATGTGCAGAATTTTCTGCCGATCACGGATTCGTTTTTAAATTTTGAAAATTCCGAATAGTTCCGAAGATATTGGAAGGAAACCGATTTTAGACTATTTCTTTTTTTAGTTTTTCGAAATTTTAGGACAAAATTGTGTAGTCTGATATAAAATGATGTGAGGAATAGATTTTTGCCATCAGTATTGACGTATATTTGTCTAAAAATATGTCATTAGCGGGAGTTAACTTTTGTTTTTGTTATGGGCACCACATTGAATTTTTGCCTCATTAGAAGAAAAGGGAAATCTTCTTTAACTGTGTATAATTTATGAGGTTTTTATAAACAAAGATATTGAACAGAATTGCAATTTTCATAAAAAAAAGTCACGTAGCCAAGTGAAACATTTGAATTTTTTCTGTAAATTTATTTAATATTTCTTATTTATATTCAGTATCTTGGTTATTTATTTCTGTCCAAACATTTAGAAAAACAAGCGAAATACGACTAAAAAAAGAAATAACATAAAATCGGTTTCCTCCGAATATCTTCGGAATTGTTAGGAATTTTCTAAATTTAAACACGAATCCGTGATCGGCATAAAATTATGCACATATTTGTTCATTTAACCATCTCCGTATCTCTTAAAATAAGAAAGATATCTCAATTGGACAATTAAAAAGTTATGTACACTGAAAAAATGGTTTCTAAATTTTATGGATCAGTATCGCATTTTTTAGTACCTGCGATAAACAAACAATATATTATAAATTTATTAAGGAGTGGGTAGAAATTATGCAACATCTCACGAGTGCCTATAATTATACACATATCAACGATTATTTTCTGGCGATTTAGATTTCACAAATATTTTCCAACAATAACACGATTATATAACAACACGAATACCAAGAAATTAACTGGGGGCCATAAAAACAAATGAACATTCCTCGCACGGACACACGCACACCTAGCGGCGTTTCACCGAACTAATGCAGACATTTTTATTGGTACTTTCTTTAATTGTTATCGTTGTTTTTATTTATTTTTTTAAAGACATCGCGTAAACGATTTGGACGAGAGGTAAATAGTAGTGAGGAAGTGATTTTGACCTTTTTTTTGGATTTTTTGCATGCTATTTTCAGAAAGATTTTTTTTCTGATAACACTGAATTTTGAAATAGTGATTTTTTTAAGAAAAACGCGAATTTAATTTTTTTTTATTTGGATAATTTATATAAATAAGTTTTGGGAGAAATAAATAACGATTTTAAAGTTTAAAAGAAAAACAAAATATAATGCGTTTCTATGAATTGTCATTGAAACAGAGATAATTACGACACTGGGAGAAGAGTTTTTTTTTGTATTTTCTCTTTTTTTGAAACACTTCTTTCATGAAATACAATTAATTGAATCACATATTGCAGAAACAACCCAAGTCATATTTCTTCAATTTTACGATTTTTATGCTTTTACAGCGTAAGATACAAAAATAATTTTAAAATGTATAGACTTGTATATAAAAAAATTATATTTTATCAGCTGCAATTTTTAATATTATAAAAAAACCTCTGCTATAAATGAAAAGAAATTAAAATATTATTAGTACCTCAGAACCGAGAAAAAACAAATAAATAAACATAATATTTATTTCAGAAACAACCTAAGTTCATTTTTTCAATTATTTTTTTCTTTAAGTTGAAGTAAACATAACGATGTTCCTATTTGCATTAACTCACTTTTATATACAGGGTGTCATTTTGAATGGTGGTCATATTTATACGGCGGCTATCTCTGACCTTTATAAACACGTATCCAAAGTTTATTTTATTAAATTCCGCTGTGAGTACCGATTTTTTTTTAATTTTTACAAATACTAATTCAATTTCAGTAAAAATATCCTTCACGCAAACATCATCTCGTAAACCGATAAAAAAAAATAAATCTAAAATAAATGCAATGAACTGTTCCGCCATTCTCATTTCGCCACATTAACGTTGGCCGTTTGTTTTTTGCGCGTCTACCACCCTGTTGACATGTCTATCAGGTATAAAGTCAACATGCATATTTCAATCGTGTAAACAATGATCAAGCACGAGCTGCTGCGAAACTATTGGTCGAAACGGGTTTAACAACAATCCCTTGCCAGATGCTCTTTCATGCAGAATCGGACCTCGCGTATAATAGTTTCCGTTTACAAATCAAAGGCTATTTCGTTAGATTCGTACAGTTGGTTTAAAAACGTAAAAACTGGCAACACTGATACAATTCCGGTCTGGGTTGTATCCATTGACGGAGTACACAAAACTTTAGGTGCAGTTCAGAAAACTATTTATTTTAGTTTAGACTATTTATTTGATTAAAATAATTTCAGATTACCCCTGAAAAACTGATCCTCATTTAAAGTTATATTCATGTTATATTTGAAAGGGTACAATATATACTATCGTAAAACGTTTTTTTTTATATCTTGAAAACTCGCAAAATGTGACTTGGGTTGTTTCTGAAACAAGCGATTCAATTAGACACTAACACTTTCTTTTGTTCGAAGACGGCGCAGGCTAGATTTAAACGAAAGGTAAATATTCCTGGCCTAAGCTTTCTATTCATAGCTGCGCATTCTAGTAGGCTACGGAGATGAAATTTTGAGCAATAGACAATCGCAGAAGTTTGTGGGTTTTTAATTCAGTTGCTAGCATGTTTCCTTTTTTTTTTTGTTTGTGCTAACACAGCTTTGATTTTGTTCAGTTTGTTTACTTTAGCGATTTTCTTGTTTGGCTGAAATTTAACACCCGATATCTGGTACTGATATATACAGGGTGTCCCAGAATAACGTGTACAACGGACGACCACAGATTCGTGGACTCAAAATAGGCAGATTTAGGCTAATTTACCTATATCCGAAATCGCTTCGCTCAAAGTTAGTGAAATTTTTTTGAATTTTGTAAATAACGAATACGTATTAATCGATTTTGATTATTTTTAGGGTGTGGACTTTTGCTTTCGATCTACACAATTTGGTGTTATACAGAGTGTTTTTTAAACCTACAACTCCTACAAAATTAATGTACAGTGACAATATCCGTTCATAACTTTTTCCTCTTTCGGGCAATAATGACAACTATTTTTTATCTGATAGGTGATACTATTTGGAAGTTTTTGGGCCTCTAGTAGAATTTTGATAAAATGAGCGGTTTGGGTGCAAAAAAAATATTTTTTAAATGTCTACATTATCTTCCCAATCATATTATAGTACTTAACAAAGTGCGAGTAGGTACTGATTTTGTAGGTTGACTGTAATTTCAGTCTGATTTTTCTTCTTAATGAGTGTTTACGACGATAAGATATACCACCTGTTACTTCATTTTTCCATATGGCGATACGACGAATTACAATGTGCCTAATTTTATTCAAATAATTAGAAAAAAACAATCAAATACAACGCATTATTATTGTCCTTGTTATTCTACCTAATAGACTGAATGGGGAATTTTATTTAGAATTTTTGCAAAACACTTCACCCGTGTTATTGGAAGGTGTGCCGTTATCACTCAGAGCTAACATGTGGTTTATGCATGATGCAGCTCCACCACATTTCACTGTAAATGTTTGGCAGTATCTGAACCAAAGATTCCCTCGTCGATGGACCAGACCTAAACCTTGCGACCTTTGGACATTCTGAAAACAACAATTTATGCTTCCACATCTAACATTGAAAAAGAGTTGTGGAGGCATATCCTGATTGCCATAAATGTTTAAAAAAAATTGCTCTCAGGAATTGCAAAGGGTGTCCTTTAACTTTCTTCACTGAATTAACTTTGTTATAGAAACAACGGTGATCATTTTGAGGGTTTTATAGTTGTACTAAATTTAATAACATCAACTTTGTTACTTTTATCTCCAGCATTTTGTTATTGTATTGATTATTTTTACTAATTATCTCAATAAAATGAATTAACTCTAATTCTTCGTATGTGTGTGTATCCGTATCGAAAAATGAAGTAATATGTGGTATATCTTATCGTAGTAAATATTTATTAAGAATTGGTAGATACAATAACTTAAAGATCAAACTGAAATTACAGTAAACCTACAAAATCAGTGCCTACTAGCACTTTGTTATAGCTGTTTTACATTGACAATTTATTGATGAATAAATTGACGAAATTCTTCATGAATTAATTCACGAATTTATTGATAAACAGTGTGGTTTTACACTGCCACAGACTTTATCAAGTTTTTTGACGCATGAATCAATTCTAACAACGAATCAAAGAAGCAAATAAATTTCAAAAATGTCACCTTGCCACTCATAATTCTAGTGATACAACAGCGATACCATTCTGACACATATTATATAAATATTAGTTTTTGTAAGTAACAAATCAGTAAAAACAATGCAAAACTAGTACGACGTCACACGATTATTTACATATTCCAATAACATAACCTTATTACTGATCTGAGGGTGGAAATCTGTTGGGTTGGTACTTCCGAACTTCACGAAGAAATTGACGAAAATTCGAACATGCTCTAATTCGTCAAGAACTTGATAAATAAATTCATGAAGTTATTTGACAGCTGATTTGGTGCATTACACTTGTCCAATTTCTTGATGAAGCGACATCATCAAATCAATTAATAATTGATCAATAAATTGTCAATGTAAAACAGCTTTTAAGTATTGTAGTGTGGTGGCAAGATGATGTAGACATTTAAAAAATATTTTTTGTACCTAAACCGTTCATTTAATCAAAATTCTACAAGAGTCCCAAAATCTTCCAAATAGTATCACCTATCAGATAAAAAATAGTTGTCATTATTGCCCGAAAGAGGAAAAAGTTATGAACGGATATTATCACCACACATCAATTTTGTAGGAGTTGTAAGTTTTAAAAACACTGTACGAGTATAACGCCAAAATGTGTAGATCGAAAGCGAAAGTTCACACCCCAAAAATAATCAAAATCGATTAATACGTATTTGAGTTATTAACAAAATTCAAAAGATTTTCACCAACTTTGAGGCCATCTAGCGGTCAAACGAAGTGATTTCGGATATAGGTGAATTAGCTTAAGTCTGCCTATTTTGAGTCCACGAATCTGTGGTCTTCCGTTGTACACATTATTCTGGGACACCCTGTATATATGATATATAGAGTGCTTCAGAAAGACCTCCCATAAATACAGGGGGTGATAGTACGTCAAAAAATAAGAATTTTTTGTCTTTTTTTCGAGATACAGAGCGACAAAATAAAGTTTTTACGAAAATTTCCAAACGGTGCGAAATATTTTTATGAAATTTGCTATTCCGTAGTTTTTAAGGACGCCAAATACGCTGGTCTAATTATTTTTTGGATATTTCATAGAGGGCGCTAGTTATGCTACGTTCTATTCCATTTTACTTTCTAATTTTTTTAAGGTTAGGTTTTTTACCATTCGGGCTATAATTTCTAATGTATAATTTTATTTTCTAAAAATAATGTCCTCTTGTTAAAACTTCCTAATGTGGACGGTTTTCGAGAAAAAAGGCTTTTAATTGAACTCTTACAATACCTGTGTATAAAATAAGCGACTTTTTTAATACTAGGCTCATGTCAAAAGTTATTGATGGATGTCTCATAAACAACGCATACATTCATAGCAATATTTTAAACTCTAACTTTTTATAAAATTTTTAGTGACTGTAATTATTCATTATTAATTACAATAACTAAAATCACAAAAATTTTGGTATAAAGTTAATTAGAGTTTAAAATATTGCTAAAAATGTATACATTATTGTTTATGAGACATCCATCAATAAGTTTTAACATAAGCCTACTTCGAGAAAAGTCACTTATTTTAAACACAATAATATTGTAAGAGTTTAATTAAAAGCCTTTTTTCTCGAAAACCGTCCACATTAGGAAGTTTTAACAAGAGGACATTATTTTTAGAAAACAATATTGTTTATAAATTTAATTTATAATTCTTTCTTTTTTATATATATATTACATTTAATTTATGTTTCTTATTAACATCAAGCTTATTTTTGTTACTTAATTTATTCATAATTTATTCATAAAATACCATGTCTTGAATCGGCACGATTCCGCCTGCGCGAGCGAGGAGAAGAAGAAAAAGGAAAAACGACATGTGGCAGAAAGCAAATACGCGTACCCTAGGTAAAAGCAGTGCTCGCTAACCAAAATTTTTCGAAAAAACGCATAAAGACCCAGTGCCGGATAAAATTCAAAAGTCATCAAAGAAAACTACGACCAAGTGTAAGTGCCGATTCAATTCAATCAGTATCGCATACAGTCCATTTAATTTATTTTTTTTTTCCTTTTTTTTGACATTGAACCAGCGCGTAGCGTTAAGTAATATGAAATTTGCAACAAATATTATACATTACAAATTGGAGGTCGAATGGTAAAAAACCTAATCTTAAAAAAATTTGAACATAAAATGTAATAGGAACTAGCGCCCTCTATGAAATATTCAAAAAATAATGAGACCAGCGTATTTGGCGTCCTTAAAAACCCCGGATTCCAATATTTCATAAAAATATTTCGCACTGTTTGGAAATTTTAGTAAAAATTCTATTTAAAGAATTTAATTTTGTCCCTCTGTATCTCGAAAACAATAGGAGATAGACATATAGTTCATAAGACAAAAATTTCTTATTTTTTGACGTACTATCACCCCCTTTATTTACGGGAGGTCTTACTCAAACAGCCTGTTTATTTACGGCGGTGTTAGACATTCGCGGTTTTCGATCTGTGCGACGAAAATCCCGAGTTTAACGACTCGCCACTTTTCAAACATGTATTCACCGCCGATGACGCAGGATGGGGCCTTAAAAATACGGCGAGCCGCAGGCATTTGAATATTATTTACTATATTGGCGAAACCGTACATAGTATCGGAAATTTTTGTCGATGATGTACGGGATGCTGGACGCGGCGATTATGAATATTAATGATCCCAGACCAGAGTAAACAGAAATGCGTGATCCTCACGTGGATCCATTGCTATTGCGCCACAGCCCTGAAAAAGTAACACCGCCTGAAGATAATAGTAACGATAATAATCATTTAATTATTTTTATAAAATACTACGGGAAAGGAGGAGGGCCAGAAGGAGAAGAAGAAATGATATACAAGGTGCATTCCCAAGGAAACAGGACTTTTTAAAAATAAGAACAAAAAAAAGCGATTTGTTTCATTCAAAATAGTCTCTTTTCGACTCATTGCAATGTTTTGCACGACCAAAAAGCATGTCGAATGAGAGTTTTAGATCATCGGCCAGGATGTCCTTCAGGATGTCGATGCAAGACTTTTGAATGGCTTCTACATTCACAAAACGCTTTCCTTTCATCGGCAAATGCATTTTTTAGAAAAGGTAAAAATCGCACGGTGTCAAATCAGGTGAATACGGGGAGTGGTAGACAGTTAAAATGCGATTTTTAGTCAAAAAATCGGTCCCATGTGTCGATCGATGACATGGCGCATTATCGTGCAACAAACGTCAACGTCTGAGCGATATTGTGATCGAATACGATGAATACGATGCACCAAACGCTTCAAAGCGCCAA